AAAAAAAAAAGTTGGTTGCTAAAAGTTTTGAAATAGCAGATAGATAACATTGTATGTAAGGGCAGCCTATGCCTATTTCTTATGGTATGCAGACTTTCATATTTTTAGTAATTTTGCTCTCTGTAGTGATTATTAGTCTACCTCGATATTGTTACTATTTCTGAGTATGATTTTTAAAAATAATTATTTATTTAATTTTATTTTTTAGTGTTATTACTTTAATTAGCTATAGTGTAGCAAGCTGCCAGTCCAGGACTATAACCCTATAACCACATTGGCCATGTGGAAGTCGAGTGCCTTAATCACTATGGCACCTATGGGTCCATTAAAGTATGATTTTTTTTTTTAAAAAAAGAATTATCTATTTAATTTTATTTATTCATTCATTTATTTTAATTTGACCAGAGTGAGAGAGAGAGAGAGAGAAAGTGAGAAAGCAAGCCACTAGGTCCAGGACTTGAACCGTGATTGGCCATGTGGGAGTGTCCAGAGCCTTAACCAACACACCACCTGCTGGTTTCCCAAAGAAGTATTTTTATTTTGATTAAAAATCACATTAGTATCACATTCAAAACCATTCTAGTATCTGACACAGAGGATACTCTTAAAGAGTGGAAGATTTAGTCATGTGATAGATAACTCCTAACATTTCAAGCCACTAAACTGTGTTTTGTCTTTTTTTTTTTTTAATTTAACATTTCCTTTTTTTGTGGGGAGGGAGAGGTTTTTGCTATTGGGTGTGTGCGCTTGCCAGAGAGACAAAATGCATGAAATCGCCCCCCAGGGGAATGGCCTCAATCCCTTCTCCTTCACTCTCCTCTCAGGATCTTGGGCACATATGCACATGCCCCCAGAGTGAGTTTAAGCCACCAGGTCTGGGACTCGAACCATGGTCGACTACATGGGAGTCCAGCGATCTAGCCATTACACCAACTTCTGGTCCCTAATTTAACATTTCTTTTAAGAATTATTTATTCAGTTTTATTTATTACTTTATTTTTTAGTTTTTAAAATTTGACCAGAGAGAGACAGACACAGAGGGGAAGCGAGAAAGCAAGCTGCTAGGTCTGAGACTCCAACCATGGTCAACCATGTAGGAGTCTGGCCCCTTAACTACTACACCACCTGTTGGCATCATCAAGCCACTAAACTGTTAACTCAGTGTGCTCAATAAACATATAAACATGTTATTTCACATAGTTGATTTTAAAAACACTGGAAAGCATTGAATTAAGACATGGTTAGGAGAATGATTCTTCTCTAGTTGGGGGTATTTTAGACTTCCGTAGTGATTACTCACTCTAGTTTTTTTCAGAATGGTTTTCAGTTAGTGAACCTCTAGTGGCTCATTGTTGAGATAGCTTGGAAATGAGGATTAAGAGTATAATATAATTGAGCTGCTGATTACTCTGGCCATTGGAATATTGTGAAGACTAGTGATTGTTTGCAGATTTAGAGCAGTTATTGAGGTCTCTTAATAGAGTTGATATACCTTATATGTCTTGAGAAGAAAGACATATCTTTCCATCTATATATATACATACATACATGTGTGTGTATGTGTGTGTGTGTGTGTGTGTGGGTATATGTTTTTTTTTGGTTTGTTTGTTTGCTATAGGGTATGTTCTCACTGGGAGACAAAGAGAGAAAGTGAGAAATCATGCCAAAGAGGAGCTGGCCACACTGCAGTCTCTTCTTTTCTCCTCTTGGGATTTTGGGCATGCACACCCATGTGCCCAGCATGTTTTTCAAGCCTCTGAGGTTAGGACTCGCACCATACAATCAGCCATGTGGAATCCAGCCACCTTACCCATCACACCATTGGCTGGCCCTATATATCAAGGCTTTCTTTCTCTGGTTTTTTTTTTTTTTTTTTTTACTTTAAACTATAGGGTGCATGTGCTTATGGGAGAGATGGCAGAAAGAAGAAACATCTTCCCAGGGAATGGTCATGCTTGTGGGGGAGAGGCAGAGAGAGAGAATGTGAGAAATATCTTCCAGGAGAATGGTCATGCTACAATCTCTTCTCTTCTTTTTCATTCTCCCCTTGGGATTTTGAACATGCATGCATATGTGCCCAGTGTGATTTTTTTTTTTTTTTTAGGCTAGCATGGAGTCTGGGACTCACCTGTACAGTTGGTCATGTGGGATCCAGCTGCCTTAAACTACTACATTAAGATTTTTTTATTTGGAGAGAACCAGCAGTTAGCGTAATGGTTATGTTGCTGGACTCCTACGTAGTCGACCGCGGTTCGCGTCCTGGACCTGCTGGCTCAAAACCACGCCGAGCGCATGTGTGTGCGTGCCCAAGATCCCGAGAGGAGAATGGAGGAGAAGGGATTGCGGCATGACCACCCCCCTTGGGGGGTGATTTCTCCCTTTCTGTCTCTCTGTCTCTCTCTGTCTGGCGAGTGCACGTGCCCTATAGCGAAAAACCTCTCAAAAAAAAAAATCTTAAAAAAATTTTTTTTTCTTTTCTTTGTAGTTTTGCTATAGGGTGTGTATCCTTGCCAGAGAGAGATGGGAGTGGGGGGCTGGGGGGTGTTGAAAGTGAGAAATCACCCCACAAGGCGGTGATTGACTAAACCATAGTCTCTTCTTCATTCTTTAGTTGAGATTTTGGGTACACCTGCACACATAAATGCCAGTATGTTTCTCAAGCCACCGGGTCAGAAGTCCACCTGTGCAGTCAGCCACGTGGGATCCAGCTAGCTACCTTAACCTCCACGCCATCTGCGGGCCCTACATTAGGATTTAAAAAAACATTTCTATTTGTTTTGCAAGGCCATATAAGCATGTGAGAAGAATATTGACTGACAGCAATCTTAGGCTGTAATAGGCATGACTTTCATCATCATTATTATAGTAGCTCAGTTTTTGGTATATAACTCTGAGACACAGTGTTATTACAGGCCCTTCCTTTTTTCCTCTTTTTTAAAGAATTACTTTATTTAACTTTATGAACTTATTTGACCAGAGAGAGAGAGGGAGGGGTGGAGGGAAAAGTGAGAAAGCAAGCTGCCAGGTCCAGGACTCAAATTTCGGTTGGCCATATGGGAGTCCAGCACCCTAACCATCATGCCACCTGCTGGCCCCAAGGCCCTTTCCTTTCAACATAGTGGGACATAGTTAGATTTGCCACTACCTTGTGGATTAGTGGTATAAACAGTAACTTTGTTTCCCAGCTAGAATCTTGGCTCTTAAAACTTTTTTTTAAAAATATTCATGCTAGAGTGCATCTGAGAGATAGAGAGAGGAGCACCCTTCACAGGGCCTTGAGACACCACCATCTCCTTCCTTCTGTCCTGCAGACACTCAGATCCCGGGCACAGAATTCTGGGCACTTATGTGCGTGCCCAGCATGTTTCAGGTTTAATGAGCTAGAGATTTGAACCTCTGTTGCCATGTGTGATCTTGCTCCTCTTGAGTAGTACATTACCACTGTGCTGCAGACCTAGTCTATAGCTAACGTCTTTTTTTATTTTAAAGAATTATTTATTTTATTTTTATTATTATTATTATTATTGCTTTTTAAATTGGCTTTTTTTTAAATTGGCTATAAGGTACATGAGAGAGAGAGAGAGAGAGAGAGAGAGAGAGAGAGAATGTGAGAAATCAAGCTGCCAGGTCTTGGACTCAAACAAAAGTTGGCCATGTGTGAATCCAGTACCTTCACCACCGTGCCATCTGCTGGCCCTGCAGCTAACACCTTAACTTTTACTTTGGATTTATGAGGTATTCCTACCTCACTCCCTTTGGACAACTAGTTATTGTACCAATAAAAATGGAAATAGAAGAAATCTAGATTGAGATTAGTTTTATAGAGATAGGTCTTTTAACTTTGATTTTATTTTTGTAAAACTTACACTAGGTCTACATACTTGGGGTTGTAAAATCCTTTTTCTTTGGTAGTTGTGACTGAGCTTTAAAATCTGTGACCCAAATACGAAAGTAAGTATGCCTTGCCATAAACATTTACATTGAGGGTAAGGTGCTACTACTTAGATAGACCTATGTTTTTATATGTTCAAAGTCCTAATTATATAAAGTGGCCCCACTCCCCTCCCATAATGTGGGACTATATTTTTAGGACTGTAGATTTATATGTTGGAGATTGAAGGGACTGTAGAGATTTTATTCTTTTCTGCATATACATTGTTCGTAGATGAGGTGATTGAGAAAGTTGTGTATTGTACAAGATCACATAGTTACATAGTTCTAGAACTGGTTTTATTTCCTTTTTTTAAAGAATTATTTAATTTTATTCATTTATTTTAGTTTGATGAGAGAGAGAGCAAGTGAGATTGTAGCTTATCTATTACCTCTTTATTTCATAAAGGAATTTGATAATTTAGTATACTTCTCTACTGATTCTAAATGATTTAGTTAATCAAATGTTTTATACATGCCCATATATTTTTTTTTTGGAGAGGTTTTTTTCTATAGGGTGCATGCGCTTGCCAGAAAGACACAGACAGAGCCATAGAAAGCGAGAAATCACCACCCAGGGGGAATGGCCACGCAGCAATCCCTTCTCCTCCATTCTCTTAGGATCTTGGGCACGCACGCACACGCGCCCAGCATGAGTTTAAGCCACCGGGTCTGGTACTCAAACCGTGGTCGACTACATGGGAGTCCAGCGACATAGCCATTACACTAACTACTGGTCCCCATGTCCCTATTTTTTTTTTTTTTTAAGATTTTTGTTACAGGGCACATATGCTCGCTGGAGAGACAGAAAGTGAGAAGTAACTTCCTGTATGGAATGGCCATGCCACTGTGCCATCTCTTCCATTCTCCTCTTGGGATCTTGGGAACGCACACATGTCAAGTGTTGATTTCAAGCCTCCAGGACTGGGACTTGAACTGTAGTTGGCTTTATGGAAGTCCAGCAACGTAACCATTATGTCACCTGCTGGTCCCTTAAATAAAAATGTTTTAATATAGTGACTTGCATTTGGATTTTTTTAAATAAAGAATTACTTTAACTTTTAATTAATTAATTAAATTTTGACCAGAGAGGGACAGAGTGAGTGAGCGGGAGAGGAGGCAGTGAGAAAGCAAGCCACCAGATCCAGGACTAGAACCACAGTCAGCCATGTGGGAGTCTAGCACCCTTAAGCACCATGCCATCTGCTGACCCTTCGTATCCAGATTTAGAATTTTTTTTTTAGAGTGAGGTAGAAGAGTTCAGGATTCACAATAATGCTAAAATTTATTATTAAAATTCATCTAATGCCTAGTGTTTAAATAGTTTTCCTTGAGAAATGTCTTTTAATGAGAAAATGGATCTATTAAAGTAGAATACCACAGTTTCTGGGGTTAAATTTTGAGAGCCACTGGTTTAGTTTTTATGCATTGATTAAAAATGAACAAAATAGGTCCAGCAGGTGGTGTGGTAGTTAAGGCATTGATTGGATTCTACATGATTGACTAGACTACATGGTTCAAGTCCCACACCTGGCAGTTTGAATATGATACCAGGTTCAGGTGTGCTTGTGCCCAAAATCCCTGGAGGAGAAGGAATTGTGGTGTAACCATCCCCCTTGTGGGGTGGTTTTCCCTCCTCTTCTCTCTCTCTCTCTATGTCTGTGACCAGTACAAGTGCCCTATAGAAAAAGTTTGTAAAAAAGCCAACAAAATGAAAATATGTTTAAGTTTTCGTATTTTAATTTACTGGTCTTGTGATTGGTTATATAATCTTATATGTATGTTTGGTAATATGCTCTTTTATGAAGTTTTGTAAAAAGATTATCATTATTTTAATGTTAATACTGAGTTCTGTAATGAGTTAACCAACCTTTCTTTCAGAAAATGTGGCAAGAATTAGAAACTTTACCTACATTTTTAAGGGTTTTAAATATTTGTTTATCTTTTCGTCATAGGGAGTCAGAGACACATTTTTCTTCTGACACAGATTTTGAAGACATCGAAGGAAAAAACCAAAAGCAAGGCAAAGGAAAAGTATGTACCCAATATGTGGTGTCGTTTTTGTTCTTAAGATTATATACATGTGTATGTGTGTATTGGTAGTTTTAGGTATGTCTCACACTGTTATCTTTTAAAAACGGTGTTTTTGGAGGACCGATAGGTATGGTAAATCATCAGAGTGCATGTGGTCCTTTTGACTTCTAGAGTAAATAAGTTTTGATATCTATTTCCATTGTTGTAAAGTTGAAATTAATAATATATCATTGATTTTATTTGCTAATTTTATAGAGCTCAGTATGCCAGGAAAGGTGTGATAATTTAATTATCTTTTTCCTCCCATGAGTAGTAAAATAAAAAGCAAAGCAGTTTATCTACTCCTCACTTAATGACCTATACCGCCAGTTTTCCAGCTTGGGATGTGACAGGGCAAATCTCTTTTCTTAGTCTATGCATGAGTTGCAGTAATACCTTCAGTCTGTTTCATTTCAGTAGTCGCTTAGTATTCACTATGTGAATCATTTGCAATCTTGCAAAGACTACATATTTTGTTTATAAATTTCTACTTTCTTATGTACCCATAGTTGTACACAGAATAAATATTAATTGTGCCAGATTTATATTATTGTGTTGTGTGTTATGTCAGTTTCTGGTACTTATCTAATGTGTGCTTTTTGTATAAATAGATTTACATTATTCTAGTGTAGTGTCACCTGATAATTATTGAAAAATATATACCCTGTGGCACATCACAAGACTTTAGTGGTACATCACAAGCTTGTGGCACATTTGCTTTTAAGCTTTTTACTTTATCAGTGGATTCGCTTTAACGACTTAGCTGTTGCAATGGAACTGGGCTGTTAAGTGAGCAGTGTCTACACATCAAATTCCTTATTCTAAAGCACCTTTAAAAAGTGACAGGGCTGATGCTGTAGCACAGAGGTTGAGCACTGTACAGTGGGAGCCAGATTCCACATGTCTGACCATGGTTCAAATAGGGGTTGTGGGAGCTTAGATAACACACTGCATGAGTGTGCATGCATGCATGTCCCAAATTCTCAACAGGATGAAGAAATGGAGAAAAAAAGGAATGTAGCATGACTAGGCCCGTTAGAGAGTGCTTGCATGCATTCCCTCTGTCTCTCTCACTTATTTATTTATTCATGTATGTATGTATGTATATATAAAAGCACATGTGCTTAAAGTTTATTAAATAAATGTAAACATAAGTTTAAGTCTAAGAGGTTAATGTTGATAGTCAATTTATTTTTATAAGTAATTTCAAGAATAAAAACTAAAATTAACAAAGTTATGTTCTGAGAGTATGAATTATAGGTTTAGAGTATGAATGGGTAGCCTATGCGTGAATGGTTAAATAATTTTACTCTTGGATAGAAAATTTGGATGTACATGTATGTAAATGCATTGTGCAAAAGACGACATTGTTGCTCAGTGTTCTTTCTCAAAGCGTAAGTTGGATTTCTGTTTCCTTCATGACATGTACATATTTTGAAAGCATCTAGACACTATCGAAATATACAATGGATAAGTAAAATTTTCTCCTATTTCAGTCACTCTGATAATTTATTCTTTAAACATTTTGGTGAACATACCTTTATCCATATATATGAAGATTTTTTTACTTAAATGGAATCATACTATGTAAGGTGTACAACATTACTTTTAAAACTTATTGGTATGTCGTCAACAGTATTCTGATGAGATGAGTAAATATAACTAATTTTGTTGTTGCTGTTGCTCTTATTAATTTGCCAGAGGATGTATGTGTTTGCTGGAGTGAGAGAGAGAGAGAGAGAGAGAGAGAGAGAGAGAGAGAGAGGCAGACTGACAGACAGACAGAAAGGGAAAGTGAGAGAAAGAAAGCACCCTCCCTTGGGGAATAGTCACACTGCAATTCTACATCATTCCCTCTTTTTGGGATTTTGGGCACAGATGTACATGGGCTTGACATCTTTTTTCAAGTTGTTGGGTCTGGGTCTGTGTCTGAAATTCCAACTGTGTAGATGGCCATATGGGATCCAGCTGCCTTTATTGCCGTGCAACAGACTGGCCAATTCTGTAAATTTTAAAAAAAGTTTATTTCTCCTATGATAGAGAAAGATAGTCAGGCACCCCCAATGGAATCTTTCAAAAAATTATTTAATTTTATTTATTTACTATTATTCAGTTTGACTAGAGAGAGGAGAAAGCGAATGGGAAAGGACGTCACCAGGTCTAGGACTCGAACTGTGGTCAGCCATTTGGGAGTCCAGTACCCTAACCACCACGCCACCTGCTCCCGCCCCCCAAATGTTTATGCTGTGATCAATCTTGTCTCATCTGGCCCGGATCATGGGCTCATTTCCACACCCATTGGACTCAGGGACATGACATGAACTCAGAACCTTTCCATTTGTGGGTCTAGCTGTGTTACTGCTATGCCACTGTAGGCTCTCTGTAAACTTTTTTTTAAGTTTTATGCCATAGGGCACATGTGCTCACTGGACAGAGAGAGAGAGACCGTGAGAAGGAAAGGGAGAAATCACCTCCCAGGGGGAATGACCATACCACAATCCCTTTTCTTCCATTCATCTCCTTGGATTTTGGTTATGCATGTGTTTGTGCCTGGTGAAATTTCCAACCTGCCAGGTTTGGAACTTGAACCCCATTCAGACATGTGGGATG